TTTTTATGCCTTACTATACTATGTCGTTTTTTTCACTTTTTATGCCATACTATACTATGTCGTTTTTTCACGTTTTTATGCCATACTATACTATGTCGTTTTTTTCACTTTTTATGCCATACTATACTATGTCATGTTTATGAGTTTTTATGCCATACTATACCATGTTGTTTTTTTCACTTTTTATGCCATACGATACTATGACGTTTTTTCAAGTTTTTATGCCTTACTATACCATGTCGTTTTTATAGCTTTTTATGCCATACTATACTATGTCGTTTTTTTCACTTTTTATGCCATACTATACTATGTCGTTTTTTTCACTTTTTATGCCTTACTATACTATGTCGTTTTTATCACTTTTTATGCCATACTATACTATGACGTTTTTTCAAGTTTTTATGCCTTACTATACTATGTCGTTTTTATAGCTTTTTATGCCATACTATACTATGTTGTTTTTTTCACTTTTTATGCCTTACTATACTATGTCGTTTTTTTCACTTTTTATGCCATACTATACTATGACGTTTTTTCAAGTTTTTATGCCTTACTATACTATGTCGTTTTTTTAGCTTTTTATGCCATACTATACTATGTTGTTTTTTTCACTTTTTATGCCTTACTATACTATGTCGTTTTTTTCACTTTTTATGCCTTACTATACTATGTCGTTATTTTCACTTTTTATGCCTTACTATACTATGTCGTTTTTTTCACTTTTTATGCCATACTATACTATGTCGTTTTTTCACGTTTTTATGCCATACTATACTATGTCGTTTTTTTCACTTTTTATGCCTTACTATACTATGTCGTTTTTTTCACTTTTTATGCCATACTATACTATGTCATGTTTATGAGTTTTTATGCCATACTATACCATGTTGTTTTTTTCACTTTTTATGCCATACGATACTATGACGTTTTTTCAAGTTTTTATGCCTCACTATACTATGTCGTTTTTATAGCTTTTTATGGCATACTATACTATGTCATTTTCATGGCCTTTTATGCCATACTATACCATGTTGTTTTTTTCTCTTTTTATGCCATACGATACTATGACGTTTTTTCAAGTTTTTATGCCTCACTATACTATGTCGTTTTTATAGCTTTTTATGGCATACTATACTATGTCATTTTCATGGCCTTTTATGCCATACTATACCATGTTGTTTTTTTCTCTTTTTATGCCATACGATACTATGACGTTTTTTCAAGTTTTTATGCCTCACTATACTATGTCGTTTTTATAGCTTTTTATGGCATACTATACTATGTCATTTTCATGGCCTTTTATGCCATACTATACCATGTTGTTTTTTTCTCTTTTTATGCCATACGATACTATGACGTTTTTTCAAGTTTTTATGCCTCACTATACTATGTCGTTTTTATAGCTTTTTATGGCATACTATACTATGTCATTTTCATGGCCTTTTATGCCATACTATACCATGTTGTTTTTTTCTCTTTTTATGCCATACGATACTATGACGTTTTTTCAAGTTTTTATGCCTCACTATACTATGTCGTTTTTATAGCTTTTTATGGCATACTATACTATGTCATTTTCATGGCCTTTTATGCCATACTATACCATGTTGTTTTTTTCTCTTTTTATGCCATACGATACTATGACGTTTTTTCAAGTTTTTATGCCTCACTATACTATGTCGTTTTTATAGCTTTTTATGGCATACTATACTATGTCATTTTCATGGCCTTTTATGCCATACTATACCATGTTGTTTTTTTCTCTTTTTATGCCATACGATACTATGACGTTTTTTCAAGTTTTTATGCCTCACTATACTATGTCGTTTTTATAGCTTTTTATGGCATACTATACTATGTCATTTTCATGGCCTTTTATGCCATACTATACCATGTTGTTTTTTTCTCTTTTTATGCCATACGATACTATGACGTTTTTTCAAGTTTTTATGCCTCACTATACTATGTCGTTTTTATAGCTTTTTATGGCATACTATACTATGTCATTTTCATGGCCTTTTATGCCATACTATACCATGTTGTTTTTTTCTCTTTTTATGCCATACGATACTATGACGTTTTTTCAAGTTTTTATGCCTCACTATACTATGTCGTTTTTTTCACTTTTTATGCCATCCTATACGATGTCGTTTTCTTCACTTTTAATGCCATACTATACTATGTCGTCTTTTTCACTTTTTATGCCATACTATACTATGACGTTTTTTCAAGTTTTTATGCCTTACTATACTATGTCGTTTTTATAGCTTTTTATGCCATACTATACTATGTCATTTTCATGACCTTTTATGCCATACTATACTATGTCGTTTTTTTCACCTTTTATGCCTTACTATACTATGTCGTTTTTATGGCTTTTTATGCCATACTATACTATGACGTTTTTTTTCACTTTTTATGCCTTACTATAATATGTCATTTTTATGACTTTTTATGCTGTACTATACTATGTCGTTTATTTACTTTTCATGCCTTAATATACTATGTTGTTTCTATGACTTTTTGCCTTAATATGACTTTTTTTTCTTATTTACTACCTTACTTACCTTACTATAGTATTTTTTTTTTTTTTCACTTTTTAGTTCGCTTTTTTCACTTTCTATGATGTTCTTGACTTTTTATGCTTCAATATATTATTGTAGATATTCTGAAAAATAGAGTCAGGGCGAATTGCGTTTCTGTCTGGGTGAACCAGGCCGAGGCAGACAACTCCCAGAACTCCAGTAGCTTGAGGGAAACTTCTTTGGTCACCATGAGTCTCTGGAGGCGTCCAGCAGACATACGTCGATGGCTCCAATGTAGAAATTGTGAAAAACAGTGGCAGACAATTTCTAGCTCTTAACACACAAAACATGTGCATCCTTTTAGTAACACACAAAGCAAGAAGAGACTGGGAAGAACACAACGGTAACTTCACTCTCCCAGACCCTTAAAGTGACCATGTCACCCTATTCACTGAACCAATACCCAGGTGAACACTGAATGACTTTGTGTAGAAAACATATAGTACAGCAAACTACGAATAATGATGAATGATGATAAATATTCATATTTTTATGTCTAATTATAAACAAATGGGCTTCCATAATGGACCTACTAATATAAGACTTGCTGGGAGAAGTGGGAAGTGGACCATCTGGCTGGATGTATAATATATGACACACATGGAAGAAAATTTAAATTCTAGTACGCAAAGTAGACATTCCTCTATATCATCTCAAGAAAGGTGTGCAGAAAAATCAGACAAACATATTTTAGAAGACCCAGTGCTCAAAACATACAAATGAAGCTGTATATTGATTAGATTAATATTTCAGATGCTGCCTCTGCTGCTGTCTGTGTTTGTGTATGTGATGAGGAGGGCAATCAACAGCAAAGATGTGGACTCTCTGGCTCAAGCTCTGAAGTCAGCCCTCTTCGTTCTCTTCAGTCTCGCCTGCCTGTGGAGAGCTGAGGCATCTCTCTCTGGTCTTTCTCAACCCAGCACAGCACATTCATTATTAATCAACCAGAGTCTCTCCCTCTTCTCAGCTCAGCCAATTACAGTCGGGCCCTTGCGACTGCTGCCTGTCTCATTTGACGCTGCACTGGTTGGCTTTGATGTCTCTATCAACACAAAAGAGCCGGGGACCAAGTCTTAATAGAGCAGAAGGGGATTATGTGACTGCCTGCCTCTGGGGGTGGAACATTTTTTTTAAGAAATATATATGTTTAATTCATACTTTATTTTACTATCAGGAGACTTTGGGCCAAGCTTTAGCCAGGGTCCTGTCACTCTCTGCTCTCCTATCACAGTGACATGGTTGTTAATCCTGTTACTCTTTCATTTGGGAAGTCACACAAGCCTGCAAGCAGAGCAGGCTCAACTACCCGGGGCCTCGCACTCCTCCCTCCTGGGCTGGTAGCCTTTCCTTCCTCTGCTCATTTCATGTGAAGAAAGCCTTGATGAACCAGCAACAGCCACTCTGCATGCAGCACTGATGGTTTGGTATGAGGTCAGGCTGTTTTTGACTCACAAACGTTAATGTTTTTATCAGGGTTCGGAGGTCAGTTTGCTTTGAAATCAATTCAGGAAATGGAAATGTACTGTTACTTGGCAGAAATATCAAAACAAAAATTCCTCATCTGATCTCTAAAGAAACCATTAAAGTGAAAGCTCAAGTTGTGTTACCAGTCAAGTTTGAATGAAAGCAAACTGTTGCAGTACCTCTCTAAAGACCAAGTGTGCTTGATAGTCACAAGATTTATATGCTTTTTCTCACTCACAGCCATTAATGTAGATACTGGGCTCGCTGGTTGAGTCACTGTTATTTGTTTGAAGTGGGCTCATCGCCCTTAGTTGAACTTTTAATAATAATTCTTCCATCACTTCCCTACCTCAGGTCCCACCCGCTATTTGCAGCGTTGACCTTTAAAGCAGGAAGTTACTGTTAACACAGCTCCAGCAGCTGCGACGACAACCTGCTTTACAGCATTTTTCTCATCAAGTGCAGCGCTTGTGCACATTTTCCTTCCCGACTGACTGCACATGCTCGAGTTTAGATTATGGGGTCTGGCACTTAAAATGACAACTTCAGTTGACAGCAACGGTGTCAAGCTAAAGACTGAACTGGCCTCGCCGTTTGATGACAACCGCATACGACAAAATTCATTTTCATTCTGCATGATTTTCATTAACTGCGAACAGCGAAGGGAGAATATTACATAAACCTCTGATGTAATTTTCTGAGCATGACTCAAAGCACTGGGGAACCCCACGCAGAAGACACATCTCAAAGCTGGTTTCTTTAAGAAAAGACAACATTGCATACATTTATTAGGGATGGACGCCAATTCCAATACATGCAAATCACCACTGTCCTTTAAATGTAGTGTTGACATTATTGCAAACACTTGTCTCCCTGCTGTTTTGTGTATTATATTTTTATTATCTTAGGATAAAAAAAACATTAACAATTACATGGGATGCCTTGTTCTGCATAATTTAACGTATACACAGTGGGAACAGGAATGGCAATGCTTTAGACATCATCACAGCCTCTTCATAACCCCACCCACCCCCAACCCACTGCCCGCATGCAGTTTGCACTGCACAAAGGCCAAAAGTCACGTGAGACAGCCTGCAAAGAGCACAAGAAGCATTCACAGTAAAGGAGGATAGGAAGGAGGATAGGATGGAGGGGAGGGAGGGAGAGTAAAAGATGAGAGAAGGGGGGAGAAGGAAAAGAGAGGGAGTGAAACAAAGTGACTGCAGCACTGGCCTTGGTTTAGACAGGAGAAGGAGCAGCATAGTCCTAGTATATCATTCTAACTTCTCCCACACTTCAACTCCCGTCTCCTGATTGTGGTACTCTTTCCATTGTCTTTGACACAAAAAAGTTTGTTTATATATGCATGTATATATGTATATACATATACGTATGTATATATATATAAACACATTTTTATAGCTACAGCACCTTTTCCCATGGGGCAACAGTGTCAATACCTCGCACATGGTACATGGCCGTGCCAAAGAAAAAAAGAAAAATAAAAAAAACAATATATTGGTCAGGATATTTATCTTTTTTTCCCTAAAATTGGCATTTGACATGATGATATTCTATTGCCGTCTGGGGGAGGGAAGGGACAAAGGTTCTTCTTTTGAGTTTATATTCAAGTTTTCTCCTTTTTTTCTGGTGTATAATTTCTTCTTTTCCTGTTTAAAAAGAGTTCACACTTTTGTGATTTGCGTGTGCTGCTCTTCATCAAAAGGTTCATTTTCCGGATCAGAGTCAGTGGTGTCAGAGTATCGATAATGGTCTGGCTCATTGTCGCTAACGTCCGGGGTGACGGATGTCGAAGTGCTTGCCTCAGAATTCGAAGGCTCCTCCACGGCTTTCGTAAAATACAACTTCACCTGGAAATGGGAATTAAAGACAACTGACTTCAGTCTGTGCAATAAAAAAATAATCATAAACAAACCTTATAATTGCTGTGTCCATTAACTGAATCCTGCCAGCCTCTGTCTCTGCTTACCTTGAAGTTTGGCGAGAAGTAGCGGTTAGCTTTGTCTTTGTTGGCCTTGTCCAAGTCGTTCTTAGTGAGCGTCAGGATGAGGTAGTCCCTGTCGCTATCCCTGCAGCTGTCCCTGCTCTCGGCGCGCTGTGGCTGCGTCTGTAGCTGTGGCTGTGGCTGTGACTGCGGCTGCCCCTGACCAGGTCCCCCTTGCTGGCTCTCTGCGTTGTTCACCGCCCCGTTCTCCATCTTTTCCCCACTCTCCTCTGGTCCAGGGATGAAGAAGGTGTTCACCCAGAAGTGAAACATTTTGTCCTGGAGGGCAGAGAAGAGATGAGCAACTAGGTTTTTGATTTGTTTATGGGCTCATATTTTCCTTGTTGTAATCTCACTATAAGAAAAAAAAAAAAAAAAAACCCAATACTTTACAACTTGCCTACTACCATGTTTCTACTCAATCTTTAAAAACTACTCAAAAATATAGTTTTATTTAAATAAAGAAAAAGGCTCAGTACTTTCCTAAAACACCCAGCTGTCTTAGATCCTTTCTGAGGCTTAAGCCACTGGAGTTTTTAGGAACATTACTCAAAATAGGGCATTTGACTATTTTTAGCCATCGATTAATACACGTATTGCGTTAGTGGGCATTTACGGCAGAAGGATGGTGACTGTGGGATTGAGCGCCCTCGCTCACGGTACTGAGGGAACATGAAAACCAGTGTGGCAGAGCGGCTCATTGATGTGTTTTTAATCATTTTTGGACAACAAAAGCAGCCTTTAACAATAAAAATAATGCGTTTTTGGTTTTGGTCTTTTCATGGGATTTATGGATAATAACGATGAATAGTGAGAAAATGCTTAGTCACATGCCTGCTATTGTTCTTTCACATAGCAGACGTCATAATGATCAACATCAGGAATGAGCTCTAAATGACTGTCAAGGACCAAGCTAATTAAGCTACAATGAAAGCAACAAAAACACAACTAACCTTTTTCATCATCTTATTCTGTTTATGGAAGAACTCCACTTTGATGTCTCCACACACTGGCAGCGGCTGGGGGAATTCGAAAAACATGTGCTTGTCCTCACGCCGCGTGTGAGCGGGGTGCGACGTGTGAATCTTCACTTTCAGCTGGTACACCACAAACTGGGGATCTGCAAAAAAACAAAAAAGTTGACATTGCACAGGGAGGGGAGGGGAGGGAGGGGCAAGATTATGAGATTCGTGAGGAGATGAGAAAAAAAAAACACAAGAAGAAGAGGAGTGAGTGACAGAGGAGCAGGGAGTGAATCAAGAGAGTAAGACAGGATACTAGTGTTATTACATGAGTTTGACAAAAGAAACACAGCACCCCCAAACATTATACAAAACATTATATTAAAACTGAAGAGGAGAAAGGGAAAAGTTACAGAGCACAAAATATAACACCCAAAGACCCATAACCAGAGATATAGGACCCTATTCTGATGGACAGTCACGGTTTGGTCTTGGACCAGCGCAACACGTTGCATATAGAAGAATTTTAACCATTCCTTCTTCCTGTCAGGGTGGGGGTGGTGTTGGAGATGACTTCATATGCCTGTAAGCTAGTCCTATCCTGCTAGGCAACATGTCTAACTCAGACTGCTCCTGGTGGATCTCTGGGGCCATATAAAAGCAAATGAGTGAAATGATAATAATGGATGAAAGGCTCATTTACCCCAATGCCAATTCCCTTTCTTGAAGCCCTGAGGGGTCGGCTCGGTCCTGTTTTTAACGGTACTGTCCCCTTAGAGAGAAAGAAGGAGATTATCACAAGCAGGGCCTAGCTGGCCTGTCAGGGGCTTGACAGCACAGCAGACACAAATACAAGAGCTCTACACCAATATTTACAGATATTTTCATCTACATAGCTTTTCTTAAAAACAACATACAGTACGTGGCTTTTAGGTGGAGGTACACATAGGGAAAGGAAAGGGGGGGGGTGAGATTGAGGAAAATCTCAAACAACCATAAAACATTGGATTCAACAAAACAGAGATGTGTGATCTTGCGTTATTTGTAACAGGTTTATCAAACTAGCTTCTCCTCTTTTATTGCTGCAGTGAGCTAAAACCTGACGCTAGAAAAAGGGTGATGTGTGTGTACATGTATTAAGACATCAAACTCAGAATAGGTCCTTTTTAAAAAGGGAGAGTTAGGAGGAAAGAAAAGGATCAATACAGTGAGAGCTGTTCAGCACAGTCAGGTGTTAGGGTGAAAAAGCCACAGAAACGAAGGAAGAGGAGGCGTTTTGTTTTTTTTTTTGTTTTTTTTCTTCTTTCTTTCTGACCCATGGTTAAAAATGGACAAATTCAGATACAAAAAAAGCACAACAGCGTGTGACTCAGACACAATTGAGCAAAAAAAGAGGATTGTTTGACATCTTTTCCTCCAAAGGCCATAACAGAGCACTATTAAACCACTAAAAATTGTTTCCTCTGTACAGTAAAATACACAGCACTAACATGTTGAGAAAATACACTTCTGCTTAAAGACTAAAGGTGAAAAGGTGTCATTATCTGCTTAGACGTTTTACTCAAGGTCTCACAGACGTGTCAGTGGTATTTTAGAGGATGTGGACAGCTCAGGCAGTATTGATGTTGATACTGAAGTTTTGGTTTCGGCATGCTTTTCAAATTGTGCTTATTCTGAGTCTGACAGCTTTGTGTCTGTGTCACTCTTGCCACTGAGCACAGGGGACAACAAGTGTCACTGTTAGCATACAAACAATTTTACAACGTCATACCACTCAAGCTCCAAGCGAATATGCAGTGATATGAAAATAATTGTGAACTACAGTATGTGTATCTGTGTACAGAAACGCAAAACGAAGAAATGAAAGTTTACAGACTCCCTCTGAGGAACAAAAATGAAAAAAAAAAACAAAACAAAAAAACAATGGCTAAAATACCTACTTGCTCAACTTTTGAGATTTATAGAATAATAAAAATCTTAAAATGATTTCTGTTTTCGTGTGCTTTTCTTCAGTGAGAGTTGCCACAGAAAAAAATAAAACAAACATCCTATGACCCTAATAACATTTGAAAATTCCATTATAGCAAACACAGGGGATTTGGTTTTGGCAGAGAATAAGTTGGCCATGTTGTAAGCAGCAACAAGAGGACGTGATCAATAAGAAGCAGCTTTTTTTCCTCAGTCAAAATGGTCCAAAAATAGTGCCGTGGATTCAGCCACACTTGATTTGGTTTTAAAAACCGCAGCAGAGGACGACTCAACTGTACCATAGGTGACCTGCTCTGTTCTGTGATGCTAAACTGTAGCGTGGGTGAGCCCTACAGTGCACAACACATCCAAGGCTCTTGTTCCGTTTGAACAGTGGCATGCATGCCTACGCCCTAGTTTGGAGTTATAGTTGAACATAAGTGTGACTCACTGCAGGTGCCCCCGCTGAACATGGGGAGAGTCTCGAACACCATTTTGTGGAAGAGGAGCGCCACCGGCTTGTACTCTAGCTGGTTCTTCAGTAGGTAGCTGTAGTAGTAGACGTAGCGGCGCTGGCTCGGGATCGTTACTCCCTGCAACAACAGTAACAATATTTAGAAATCCTGAAATGAGGTTCTCTTTTTCTGTGTGTGCTCAACTGTTTGCAACTGAAAATTAATTGACATCTATTTTGATAATGAGATAATTGGTTTGGTCACTTTTCAAGCAAAAATGGCAAATATTTTCAGGGACCAGACTCTTAAGAGTATTTTCTGCTTTTCTCTGTTTTACATTTCTACAAACAGAATATCTTTGGATTCTGGTCCAGCAATATAACAGCCATTTTAACAATTTTCCAATATTAAGCAGACAACACATTTAATCAAGAAAATAATCAGCAGACTAATGGACAGTGAAAATAATCTGTTGATCTGGGCTGATCAAGAGTTGCTGTGTTGCAACAGTTGGTCTCTGATGATCATCTCACCTTCTTGTCCCTTGTCCTGACTTCACCATAAAAGTCAAGCGCTTCTTGGGCCTCCAGGAATTTGCCGCGATGGAGGAGATAGGCGCAGATCATGACTCCAGTGCGGCCCTTCCCGGCCTTACAGTGGATGGCCGCCACGTGATTGTCATCCTCACTGAGCCACTGGTCCAGGTCTTCACAAAACGGCTTAATTAGCTCCAGCTGAGGAGGGTTGTGGTCTTCGAAGGGGTACTGTGCAACTGATGCGTGACGGGATGCAGGCCCATGCAGAGTTGTAACGAGAGAGGGGAGGATTGTGGACAGGAACACAGCAGCAGACAGGGGAGAGGAGACAAGGAGGAAGACACAGTGGACATTTTGTGAGATTTTCACGACACAGTGTCACCAGGCTTTGATATCAGACTGAGGAAAAGCATCTATAGAACTTATAAAGCAGCCTACCTCTGCAGTTAAATTTGGCAGCATCGTAGTGTCTTTCTGCGCAGCTGAAATGGGAAGAACAAGTTCCAGTTAGCCATCAAACAGAGGAAGTTAGTGAGTAAACAAAGAGCAGTTCAGGTATGAGCAACATGTGGAACACTTACAGGTTGTAGATTTTGTAATGGTTTTTATGTTTTGAATCCAAAAACCTGTAGGAGCAAACATAAAACAGACAAAATATATTTATTAGTTCAATAAACAAATTCAACAGCCAGTAAGAAATGAATAAGCACAAGTGTTCTATAATAAAATGTCTTTCTCTTCTGCTTTTCTATGATCACATAGCAGAAGCAGAGGCAACACAACTCACCGTACTACGTCGTCTATATTGTTTCTGTACACGCCTTCGAGTCTCTCTGCAGGAAAGCCCATTGCAATGATGTTTGGGTAGATATCTGTTCAGGGTCAAGGAAATGTACACAGTGCATGCCTGTGGAAATCAAGCCTTTACAGAACAGAAAGTGCCATTACCGAGCTGCCTAGCAGCACATATTTAATAACACCTTCTAACAGCTATTAACTTCTTTTAGACTAATAAAAAAGAATTTCATGTTAGTCTTTAGCTGTTAGAGCAGAATTACAAGAATGCAGAGATGAGCAGCAGAGCACAGAAAAGTGTCAGCCAATGTCAATATGAGGGCGTCATAGTTATGGATAGATAGGAGGTTTGCTGGTCAATGCGCGTGCGTTTGTGTGTGTGTGTTGTGACAGATGGCCTTGACAGTGAGAAGCAGGCAGAGAGGACGGGAGTAGCAGCGCTCCCGCTCGAGCCAGGCCCACATGTGGGTGCACGAGGAGAGTCTCCGCTCCCTGACCTGCATGTATTTTTAGCGCCCAAAGTTATATTGGGATGATCGCAAATGTTCGGCTTATCTCTCTTTCGAGCTCAGCTGGACCAATTTGAATATCTAGGAGTTTGAATGCAGGCAACGCGAAGACATGGGTAGAAAAAAAGAATTTCATCAAACAAGAATCCTTTGTGTCATGACTTGCAGGTTGCAGGTGCAGCAGGAGGTAGTTGTTGTGTTTCCATAACATTCAGCAATAGACATGACACAAGTGTAACCACACAAACACCAGATTCCACTGTGAGTTCAACTCCTGTTTGCACCACCTTGCGCGTGCTGCACCTCGTCTGCGTTTCAAGTCGCCTTACATCATCAAACGTGGCTCCACAATCCAGAGCAGGATAGTGATGGAAAATGTCGTGGCCAATTATGTGGTGACACACATTTGATCTTAAAAGGCACAAATCAGTGTCATGTTGCAGCGAAAGGAATAATTGAGTTGGCATGCATGTCTTTGAGGCTCGCCTGCAACGCCTACCTGTAACTGAAGTCTGCTTGTCGCCATAAGCTGTGGGATTTCACACTTTAACCACTGACTAAAGGGCAACCTTTTCTTACACTTCCTGTGCCACGGTGTCAAAAATAGAAAAGCTGAATATTTCGAATTAGATGTGTCTGTTTAATTTTGTGCAGACTTTATTTTTCCAGAGTCAAATCACTTTTTAACTGGTCAGAAAAATTTGACACACGCGCCTGACAACTCTGGTGAGAAAGTGTGGCTGGCTCTACACAATCTTCATTTTTGCTAGTGTGCACACATGCAAGTACCTGCACATGTAAAAACACACAAGAACAAGCCTCTCTCATGGTACACACACAGTTCATTGTTCAATCAGTAGACCTCCGGAACAAGTAGTGGAGGTTTACTGTACGACAACTGACATATACACAAAGATGAATGCAATATCAAACATTTCTGAATGATGATTTTTCAATAAAGCCCTGTAAGAGGAATTCAGTAAGTGCCTTAACACAGCTTCATGCAGCTGAGGTATGCTTAACACAGGACTTGATGCATGAATTCAACAAGCCCAATAGCAAATCTATCGCATTATTTGCATACTGCCAAGCTACCTTCCCTTTAGCTCACAACACAGTAGCCTATATGTACATACTGTGCCATAATCCCTTCCATTAATGCCTCAAAGACCTAATTAGGAGCCAAATACAGGTTTTCTATGCTATTTAATGGGCTACTCTAACCCTTGGACCTACTGGCAAAGTGATCCCAGTCAGACTATTCTAAGTGTTTTGAAAAAGCTCCAGAGCTCCCAGGAGAGCCTCAGCCCAGGGCATGGGGGGCTTGGTCTCTGCAGCTGGGAGGAAACGCACATGCGGGACCCCCGACGGAAGCTCCAAGTAGGAGGGGGGGAGGGAAAAAAAAAAGAAAAGAAAAAAAAAAAGGAAAAAAATCTGCCATTTCAGGCACGCCTTTTCTTTAAAGCCAGCCCTGCCTCAGCTCTATGCATACGCCAAATCCACAACTGAGAACGAGAGAGGGGGGAAAAGGGAGAGTGGGAACCAGCGAGCGCTGAGCGAGGAGGGGGTGGGGAGGACAGGAAAGGAGGAGAGCAGAGGAAAGGGGGCAAGCAGAGGGAGGGAGAATTAGAGTGGGAGTAGTAAAGAAAAAGAGCAAAGGAGAGGTGGTGGGTTGAGAGGGTAAGAGAGGGAGAGAGCACTCAGACAGCAACGCTGATACAAGATCACTGGCAACTCTATTTTAAGGGCAATTCCCAGAACTGTGATACTGCATTACATAACGCCAGAGAGCCCATATTGTTTTTAGACACCATGCCAAAAATGATAAAAGGGATAGTTCAAAAGGGCCCACATCTGAACAAGAGGAGACTTCAAGCCAAAGAAAGATGCCACTTTACAGTGTCGTGACCCCCTTCACACCTGCACACCACAGTCCTGCCAAAGGCAGACATCACACGAGTTTCACCACATTATAACACCAGATGAAAAACATCTTATCAATTGTTGTGATGCACTTCAGCATCTGCATTCACACATACATCACAGCTGACACTTCAGCCTGAATTACATTCATCTCTAGTGGCGGTATTGAATCAAGGTAACTCACTCAGCTTCACATTTCCATTCTTTGAGAAAAGAAAAAAACACTACTCAGCAATGTTATCATTGATGCCACAATACCAGAGCAAGTTCAGTCCATAAGTACAGGCCTGTTTAATTTTTTACATTCTGTACTGAACCAGATAGGGCTGCAACTTAAAATCATTTTCACTAATGATTCATTAAGGATATGCTTTCTTCTATTTTTCAGAGAGCACGAAGACATTTTGAAATGTCTTGTTCTGTGCAACCAACAATCCAAACCCCAAAGATGTTCAATTTACTCAAAGAGGACTAAGAAAAACAGCAACTTTTCAGATTTGAGGAGCTGGAAGCAGAGAATGTTTGCTTTTAAAAAAAAAAAAAAAAAAATGATAGAATGGTAACAAACAATGTATTGTCAAAATTACTGGATGCTGCAGGCCATGCAGATATCCTGGGGGGACTGACTAACCAATTAATCGACTACTTGTTTCAGCTCTAAAACCAGAAATATCAAACTCAGAAATCACAGATTGAAAAGGCAGCTTGTTATCGTAATACAAAGTCAAGTGCACATCCACAGCAACCATGACCCATGTCACACATCAGAGTTTGTATTTAGTTTGCCATGGTCAACCACATCAGCTGCTAATCTAGTTTATCCCCAGCCAAATGAGTAAAAGTACCAACTTTAGTACCAGCGATGCAGCACCAGGGAACCAGGTCAACTATTATCAGTGGTAATAAATGAGAAATGAGTCCTGCAGAAGGGCCTGAAATAGCAATACTTAAATTTGGAAATGATCATATCTCCATAAATGGAAAGGAGAATATTAATTTGATTTTTTAAAGATTTGTTGGAAATCCATCAATGAATGCTCCTCCATAGAGGACACAGGAGAGGTGAGGCAAGGTGAGAGTAAACTTACACAATTTTGTCATCATAAACCAGAGATCTACCATATAATGAAGTGACATATACTGTGTAGATGTGTCTACATAAAAGAAAAAATAATAAATAAGCAGACATTTCAAGATAAATACTAGACAAGATCTACCTGCGTTCAACCACCAACTGATTTAAAAGAAAAAAAAAGAAAAAAAGAAAAAAAAAAGAAAAAAAAAAAAGACTTAATGCCACTGACAATTTCACAAGCTCAAACTAGGTCCACCACTGGGTTAGATGCCTCGTCTTATTCTTTTTTATACACAGTACTGTCCAGTTAAACGGGCTTTTCCTGCTATAATATGACTGTGACATTTATGCGTGCTGGTTTGACAGATCCACCATCTTTCAAACATGCTGGGTGACAGCAAAGCTGCGCTGTCTGACCAACTAGCCAGCGAGCTAAGTAGCAGCTAACTGCTTCACATCTCTGCTTCCACTTTTACTCAACAATGCAACTATTACACGTTACTAATTAGTGTCCAGAGTGCTGTGAAAATAAGAAACACAAGGAAGGATACATGTTAAGTCCAAGTCGAACCCATCCTCTTGATATCTCCTTTTGTTCCGGCTGACCATTTCTTTTATAATCGCAGCCATTGTAGCAGGTGACAGGAGTCTATTCGGGATAAATGATGAAAACAGGTTTTTCTAGTATTGGCTGTCTGGTCGTGTTTGTCGCAGTCAGTGGGTCTGCTCTCTGAATTTTGCAGGTCCTCGCAGAGACGTGCTAGCCCGCAGAGCTAGCTGTGGCTGTGGGTCGGATTAGACAGGCTTCCTCTGGATCATAAAGACGGGCCTCGCTCTGCTCCTCCGTGCAGGCCCGACTTTCCCAATCCTGCAATTCGTCTTGCAAACACCTCCGAATTAAATACATGCAGTTGTCCTCAGATAACCCTCTAGATGCCAGACACGATCCAAGCCGATGGCTCGGTCGTAGCAGCCGCCGCGATTGACAGCGAGATGGACTAGAGGACTCACCGGTTCCCGAAATCTGAATCCAGACGGAGCTAGCTCGCTAGCTAAGCAGCTAGCTAGCGCAGCTAGCTAGCAACAATGGCTAATGCTGCCTCTTCGATCCAAAATCCTTCTACCGATTTAACATTGTCATCATTTGATTGCCAAGAACACATCTGAAAAAAGTGACAGGCTCCACCGTAATTGTATATAGAATATACAAAGCTCAGGAATCGGCAGAGATTGGTTTGACAGCTCGGTCCCGGGGAATCATCTTCTTTTCTCGGTCCTCTCGCTCCAGCTGAACTCTCAGGCTCCCATCATGGCCTCCACCGAGGGAAAAAAAGAAGGTAGAGCAGGCTGGGATTTTAGAACAAATATCCCTCCGCTCTCATCACATAGTTCCACTGCTGAATTAAAACCAGCAAATGCACTCTCAAATAATAGTGTATTATCAATTGACATTAGATTCTGATTAACACCATCGTATACATATAATTGATTCAACCCAAAAAAGCGCAACAATCGAGTTATTTCGTGCTTCTGGCGGAAGGATAAAGTGAGTCTGCTCGCTACGCTCCCTTCTGTCAAAGTGATCACGTGTGGCTGTAATTAGGGAAGTTTCCAACATAATGTCACTTTTCGCGGTTTAAACTGTCATTTCAGACTGTCGCAAATGTATCCGTTTAACATGTAAATCCGTAACACGTTTAGTATGTTTACACTGAAAAGATTATATAGTTTAACGTTCAAGCAAAACCAATAGTAAATCCTAAATTGTACCAACGTTGTTAATTGCATGGGCAGTGTTATTGTTTTCACTGACGCAGACCAGCAGTGACAAAAACATCACGTTTTACACATTAAAATTAAAGATACTTCCATTGCCTAAATTTGCATGACGAAATTTTCAATAATAATAATAATAAGAGGCTACTTTACAAACATAGAAAAATAATATATTATATTGTTGATGAAGATGTAAACAAAAGTAAGTTTTACTGGGTTTAAATTAAAACTTTGAAATAAATTGCCAGTTAATCAATTAGTTGATCCACAGAAATTTAACCGGCATTTTATTGATTATTTGTTCCAAGTTTTACTTTCTTTGCCCAAATTTCACTGGTTCCAGCTGCTGAAATGTCAATATTTACTGGTTTTCTTATTTCTTTATGATAATAAAATGAAGCAAGCAATGTGAAGATGTCACTTTGGACTTGGAAGATCCTTATTTTCTGACTTGTTTGACATAATCAGTTAAGTGATTATTTGAGAAACAGAATGGCAAATTAATCAACAACAAAAAAATAATTGAGTTTTTGGATGCAATTCCACCACACCAAAAGTCACTACATGTGACTATGTTCTGCCTTTCAGAAAATGGTCCTGGAGACCTATTATTGATATTACCTAAGAGAACCAGCCACATAATGAGAAGGACATCACATCCATGATCTTCACACCCATAATGCAAAATAACCGAGGACACAATCTCTCCTTATGAACTGTGTGTAAATATTGGCCTACATCTGGAACTAAGGAAGCCCAAATCAACCCACATCCATGTAACATGACTGCTGTGCAAACCACTCCAGATAAACTCCGATAACTAATTTACATTTTCATATTTAAATAAGCAGCCTTTCACATCAGCCTTCATGCCAGCAGAGATGTGACTTGTGCGCTTCTATAAGTTGTACATCACATTTTGGGGTGTAAAAATCAGGTTAGCCCATATTCAAGAATAATAGGCATGTAGGGCGTAAGCGATTAACACCTGTGGCCGTCCTGGTCATTTCTGTGTGACGTGACATATTGGATGTACAGTAGTTAGAGATTTTATAAAGCACTGAGGGTGCAGTTCAGCAGATTTAAATGGGGTTACCTGGAACATCGCAGATTAAATGATCTGATCACACGTAAGGCTAATTAGGAATCTGCTTCTTACAGGGGAGACTGGTTCTCCTCATAGAAGAACACTCATCTCATAGCAATGTAAGCCCTTAAAGCTTAATGACTGGCAAAATTAATCAGTCCTTCAAGTTCACTCGACCATCTCTTAAGTGTAATTTGAAAGCGTCTCAGGATCTCCTTAATCTGTTATAAAAGATCTAGTTGGCAAAGCCAGTCCAGAGCCAAACCATGTGTTTGTGCACAAGATTTTAGATAATTTTAAAGAACATCACCATTGTTGACTGCTGCTAGTCCAACTTCACTCCATTAAACATGAAATCTGACTGTTTTTGGACAACAGTGAGAAACGCAGGATTATCTTTGGGTTTGGTCTCAGTGAGTGAAGTTATCATGATTAGTGCAGTTATTAAGCCAACCTCCTGTCAGACACCAAAGTGACTGTGCCCGTTCACATGCACTTACAGTAGTTTTTCCTGCAGTTATTCTTGTGTTTTCCTTTACCAGTTCTTGCCAGCAGAGAGCAGCATTGTACCATTGGCTTTGCAGCCCCAGAATACCACACTGCCCTATCCTTACAACTTTAACCTTAAACTGATAAGTGTGCACCTTGTTCTGACAGATGGAAATGTAAGATATGTTGCACAACCAGTGGCACACAGACAACATCAGGACAGAGATATCACAGAAAAGAAAACCTTTAAATCCATTTCATTTAAAGGTATCTGGTTAAGGTCACAGTACATAATGTCCATGTTAAGCACTCACCAATGACTCATAATAACAAATAATTTCCTTTTATTACTGCATTTTACATACTCACTTTCATCTTCCTAAAACTGCAGGCCTTTATTACACGAATGCACTTCCCCACTTTATAAAGTCACACAAATCTCAGATGCATTTCAGGCAAATGCCGACAAGAAATTTAAACAATTTCTCTTTTTTATGAATGTTGACATTTGAGAGAAAGGCACTTTCACATTATAAAAAAAAAAATCTATGTTGTGTTTCACAATAATATGACACATTAACATGATGAATTAATTAACATCCATACATGTGAAACAACAGGCACTGTAGGTAGTGATAAAACTGCATGTAACTTTCATTGAGGTCATACAAGTAACTTGACAGACTGCAACAAAACTGCCTTAAAATGCTACGAAAAGTGAAATCTACATGTTTATGTCATGCATCCTTTAGATATTACATGTAAATATCAAAAATCATTTCCCTGTCTTGGGACGTGCTCCTAAACTTAAAATATAAAATTTAAAAAAGAATCTCAAGTTACCTTTAATTTATTAAAATACATAGCTTAAGTTAATATGCATATAAACATACAATGGATTTATAAATCACATAGTTTTATAGGAATGTAAAAATGTAATGCTTAAACTGCTTAAGACAAGTCATTTTGATTTGGTGAAGACAAAACACCCACCCCTGCCAGAATTACTCATTATTCATAGCAATCTAAGTTCATCACTCTAAATACCATTTTTTGTATAAGATAAAAGAAGAATCTATCTAAAAACTCCTGGAGGGATGGATGTGATGTATATGTAACCCCCTTTAAGAACTAACAATATGATTTCATATTATACTGCTGACTGGTGATCTGAGCATTGTGTTGATTACTCGTCCTTTTGAAGAGACATGTAGTATTCGACCAACACCTTCCAGGCCTTGGGGGCCATGAAACCATCAGGAGGGTACTCTTTACTCCGAGCCAAGTTCCTCATCTTGGTTCCAGAGATGAACTCAAACTCAGTATGTCTAAGAAACAGGGCAGTATAGAGAGAGAGGGTCAGAGAGTGAGGATAGGTCATTACAAGTGTTATCTAGTCTTACAAAATTACAATATTTACAAATTATACAGTATGATGAGGCCATGATCACAACAGCAGAAAAATACCAAATGGTACTGAATCGAGGATGAGCCTCATAATTCACATTGTCAGAATTTTGGGAGCTGTTTTAAGATTTATACTATAATCTGCTAGCAGTATCAACAGGATAGGACACAGGGTCATTGATGGTTCACATTTTCATGAAAATCATGTTTTCGTTTAAAAGATTTGGGTGTACAAATGTGTGTAGGAGGATGTTATGTAATGCTACATCACAATTTTACAGCAAGTCTAAAAATAATGTGATGACACATTCTAATTTAAGAACATTACATCTTAAGTAAAATAGCAGCACTTATAATCTATGGCACTTTGTCCCTTTCATTTGCTCTAGTTTTTTTTCTCACAAAGTGCATCAATCCCAATACGTTCAAGCTTCCACACTACCAATCTGCAAATCTTTCTCAACTCACCGCTCTGGGTCATAAAAGTCCATAGCCTTCTTAGTCTTGTTGTAGGCGGCTACCCTGAAGGGGATGATCTCCACAGAGGTGAGGCCCGGGGCCATGGTGAGGACCTTGCCTCCATGGGTCGGTTCATACAGGTCCTGTTTAGTCTCTGGGTGAGGCATGCCTGCTGGGTCCCGGCCAACAATGTAAAAATTTGCTCCAGCAATCATTCTGGCTCTACAATGCCACTGCACCTGTTGAGAAATTGGACGACATGCAGGTTAATATTCAATCATACACATATATAATAGGTTACTGATCATAACTGCCGACTTAATAAGTTACTGCAACACCGCTCCTCACCTCTGTGGGTCCAGCATACATCATAGGTGAGGGGAAGATGGCAACAATGGTGTTTGCTGGGTCGAGGATGCCCTCCTCCAAGACAGCAGCATGCTGCTTCATCCGCCAGTCCAGAGGCACATCATCGTCTTTAGTCCAGCCGCCAAGTGGGTGCAACAGGAGGACTGGATTCTTGTATCCTCGCTCTAGCAGACGGCGCTTGGTGTCCTGCATTAGCAGGGCGTGACCATTGTGGACTGGGTTACGCAGCTGAAATGCAAATACTGCATCTAAGGAGGACAACATGGAAGAGCACAAAATAAAGTTAGCTTAACAATAGTGTTTGTAGCAATAGCAGCAGAATTAAAGTATTTGAGTTGCTGAACTTCATGATTTGTGCAGTCCAAAATGTGAGGATCATATTGTGCATTTTAACATCTGTCACAGCAAACATGCTCATCATGCCTTTTACAAAACTCAAATGGACTTTGTGTCATAAATTTGGCAATTAAATTTCCTTTCCTAATTTCCTTTAAAAAGGACAAATCTGTTGATATTCTATATTTTTCTTACTGTTAACAAATCCTATGATAAATCAAAAACCAACAATGAATTGATCTTACCAACAAGCATTGTCAGTTTAGCCAAAGCCCAACATAGATTATTTATCCGTGCCACTGAGCTCCATTGTATCCAAAAACTATTAAAAACTCATCAGCGTTGCACTGGGTGACACAACAACCACAAACATGAGCATTATTT